TCTTCCTGTCCAGACGCCAAGAGGCATTCTAGTTGAGAAAAGAAAAACACGTATGACTTTAAAAAAAAAAAAAATACCCCCCGTGTGGGTTCCGGGGCTCCATTGTGGGGGGAACAAGAATAGACCCACTGCCTCCCCAAAAGCATGTCGTAAGAGTCGACTAATTGGGGAGCTTGCTTTGAAGTCGTGCATCTGCCGGAGAGGCAAGGAACCAACAGTCTGTATTCAAGAGAATGAGATCTGTAAAACTGATGCACACGCAACACTCAGGTTCTGGAGCAGGACTGCAGTTCAGTAGTTGACGAGCAACCAGAACTTTCCGCCAGAGTGTACAGCTGGTGAACGCGAAGAAGAAAAAGAAAAAAAATATGGTGTCTGTGGGACGCATTCAGAAATAATGAGCCCACTGGTTTTATCTAATTGGGAATTCTGCAGTGAAGAGGAAACATTCATCAGTCGCTGTTAATCCTTACTTACGTCCTTTTAGGACGTAATTTTTTCTTATTTGAAGCCCCGCTCTGGCTTTTGCCAGGGGCCGCAATATAGGCAGGCCATCAATATGGCCAATTGTCTGAACGCGGTTTTCGGGACCTCTCCACGGTGATCCTCATCCGCATGGTGGCAGTTTGTGTCATCGGGTGTTTATCGCTTGTGTGATGTCCTGGTGGGGTAGAAAGTCAGTCAGTCAGTCAGTCATCAGTCGCTAAGTTAAAATTAGCGGGCCAGAGTCCAATAGAGTTAGTTAGTGTCTGCTGGAATTGTTTCGTTTCCATGATGGACATACATTTGTAATTGTTATTGTTGGCATCGCGGCGTCCGTGGCTAAGGTGTTGCGAGTCCGACTCGTAATCCAGCATACCGCGATCGAAACCCACTGCGGGCTGCGTGGATTTTTATCGTGGTATGGGACGTCGCAGGTCGACCCAGCCTAAAATGGGTACCAGGATGGGCTGTCCTGGGAAAGTAAAGACAGCCGGCGTAATGCTGACCACATTACCCGCAGAGTGCTGATGGTCTGTAAAAATATGGGACGCTCTGCCCATATGCCCGATGCGCCGAAAGGCGTGAAAAGGGATCTTTACTTTTTACTTTACTTATTGTTGGCATCTGTTTGATATTCCAGACACTGTTGTTTTTTTGGGGGGAGGCGTTGGAACCACAGCCCATGGCGATGGCGAGTAGGACAAGCAAGACCAGCTCACGTTAAGAAGTCTTCCACAGCTAGAGAGCATGGGATTACATGGGCTCATGTAATCACGTACTTGTGTTACCTGTCCTTTAAAGTAAACAAGGCTGGTCGAGAGAGGGATTTTGATGCATGAGCAACTTATGGTTTCAACAATAATGCCCAGGGTTTGTACTATATAGAGGATTCACTTCATCCCTGACTTTAATTGGTCACGGAAACTACTCGTCATCACCATGGGTTGTGAGTCCCAAGCCTCCTCATAGCGCAATGTAACACCATCGTCTGGAAAGACGGAAAGATGCCATTCATACCATCACATGTATGTAACGTCTGAGCGACAATATCTGAACGGCTAATTTCTCAGTCCATCGGATTGTTACCTATATGTAATTTGTTTTCTTCTTTATTGTTATTCCCTGTCTGCTTATCCTTCTGCACGCAGCACTGTTAATGACCTACTGTCCCATGAGCCATCTTCTCTGCCTCATTCATGTGCACACCTGTATCTCAACATCGAAGCCAACCTCAACAGTTTCTCCCCATCTGCAATTCACCATACAGAATGATGCACATTAATAAACATCATGAATACAGTTCTCATGTCTGTCTCTCCATTTTCTAAAGCTTCAACTCTCTGAACCCACCATCCAACCGAGCTCCTATCGACAGCCCAACTTCCGAACACCGATCACAAATATTTATTAATGTTCTCCATCCTCTAAAGTGTGTCCTAGCCATCCGAACCTTTAAAGACTGCACTTAGCAATACCTGCATGTGTGGTTGCCTCCACAGTTAAGCACGGACTGGACACAGCTGGAAGTTATTGATCTCGTTAACGATGGAACTGGTTTGGGATTCGGGATTATTGGAGGTCGTAGCACAGGTGTGGTGGTCAAAACGCTTTTACCTGGAGGAATAGCTGACCAGGTGAGTGACCCTCTGCAACTTCTTATCGCCTCTTCATTCATTTTCCTTTATATCACCTTCACTTTTATTATGAACAGTAGAAATATCAGTGGTAGCAGGAATATAAATACCCTTATATGCATTGATCGGTCGATGCGTGAGTTAGGACAGGGCATTCAGAAAGCAATGCTCAACCCCCCCCCCCCACCCGCAGGCCCCCACCTCCACCGCAACCACCACCACTACCATTCATATTCTACCATACTGGTTGTACCCTAAGGACACATCAGCCATCGAGGTAAATCAAAAAATATTATTCTCGCCCCACATGCCTAATGTGCCATTGGCGTGTAAGGGAATCTTAACTTTACCTTCACTTACATCTTGTGTAAAATGTAAGTAAATCACTGACAACATCTTTATGTCCTTTACATATAATGTTTAATTATACAGCCTCCATCAACTCTTAAGACCTTACCCCGGTGCGAAATACACACGTTGCCTGCCTCAAGGTTTTTTTTTTTTTATTCACATTCATTTCGTCACAGCGTGTATAAAATCCACATATCCGTCTCTCCACTGTCTGAAGCTTTAACTCTTGGAACCCTGCGACCAACGGTGCTCCTATCGACTGATCAGCTTATGTACACAACACACACACTTTCAACTTGTTTCTCTGTTTTAGCGGATTGGGACAGTTGTTTATTTTGTCGAAATGAGTTGTTATTTGGCACACATATTGTTGATATTTCAAATCTGACGCCAGCAAAATTTCATGTATAAAACAGTATGAAGAACCCAAGGCACATCAACTGCAAGAACGTTAAATTAACAATGTTGAGATTATGCGTCTTTATTGTGACTTATGGATGTGAGTTATGAACTCTTTCTCAGTCACTACTGATAAAAAACTGAGCTTTTGAATTGAAATGCTACGGAAAATTATTAGAATACCGTAGCCCAAGAAGAAGGAAAATGTCGATATCCTACACGTTGTGGGCATGAAGGAGAATTGGCTGATAAACAGCATCCTGTCCCGGAATCTGGAGTATTCTGGCCATGTTAAACGTTATGATCGCCTAGAGAGACTGGTGATTACAGTTTGCGAAAAATGAGGCAGATCTTCGTGAAGGTGAACCATTTTGACAACAAAGAGGCATTGGCTATGAAAGCACACAGGGCTGAAGTATAGGCTAGAGACGGAGAGACTTTCAGGCATGTTTTGATGTTGTTTTTTTTTTTTTTTTTTTTTTTTTTTTTTTGTTTTTTTTGTTTTAGTATCCAGAAGCCATGAGTTGTAAACCCTTAGGCTCGGTATTATGGATATCGCAACCTTTCGGCCTTGATTCCATTTTAAATACAGTAAATCTGGGAGAAATGTGGCTTTTCTGTCTACCCCCGGGATTGAACCTGGACCACAAGGAGTTCGTCACCCGGTCTCTGCGCAATCTGGTTTAGCCAACAACGCTAGAGAGCCGGGCGCATGTTGTAATAAGAGCGGCTACTTGATAGGGCCTGCTAATTATTGATGTTCATTATTTGTTAAGGAACAAATCGCGGAGCATTACTTTCTGAATGACCCTCAAAGAATTTAAGTGACACGATGTGACTAAAAATCAGAAGACACGTTTAGATAAAATGGTTGTGAGATGAATAAAGCGTGTATTAGTTAGAGCAGTGATTCCCAAACTGTGCGCCGAGGCGCCCCGGAGAGCCACGACCTCTTTACAGGGGCGCCGCGAAATATTGTAAAAAGCTTCATAATTAATTTAACCAAGACACGAATAGTCATACTTGTGCTTAGGTTAGTGCGCCATTGGAAAATGTTTTTTGAAAAAAGGCGCTGCCACCAAGAAAAGTTTAGGAAACACGGAGTTAGAGAACACGCTTCAGAAGTGGTCTGTATATTTCATAAATCTCATTTTTCCGAACAGTACGCTCGTAATTCGTCTGAAAGGTCTCCTATTCTCATGTTTATCTTTTATTATTACGCTCTCAAGTGTGCATCCTTGCAAGCTGTACCGACAATCTCCCCCACCTGCGGGATGCATGAATGAATGCGTACAGAGACCCGTTCTAGCGACCAGTGGTGCATTCTTGCCTTCTAACAGTTACGTCATTCCACTCTACGCATTAATATACCCTTGATTCGCTTGTAATAAAACCTTTGGGACACGTTTTCATTTCCCATGCTCGTTGTAACGTCTGTTTGCCATACTCTTTACAACTTGTTTTTGCCCCCTCTGTCACTGGAAGATCTCTATTTCCCTCTCTCATTGGAACTTCTCTATTTCCCTCTCTCATTGAAACTTCTCTATTTCCCTCTCTCATTGAAACATCTCTATTTCCCTCTCTCATTGAAACATCTCTATTTCCCTCTCTCATTGAAACATCTCTATTTCCCTCTCTCATTGAAACTTCTCTATTTGCCTCTCTCATTGAAACTTCTCTGTTTGCCTCTCTCATTGAAACTTCTCTGTTTCCCTCTCTCATTGAAACATCTCTATTTCCCTCTCTCATTGAAACTTCTCTATTTGCCTCTCTCATTGAAACTTCTCTATTTCCCTCTCTCATTGAAACATCTCTATTTCCCTCTCTCATTGAAACATCTCTATTTCCCTCTCTCATTGAAACATCTCTATTTCCCTCTCTCATTGAAACATCTCTATTTCCCTCTCTCATTGAAACATCTCTATTTCCCTCTCTCATTGAAACTTCTCTATTTGCCTCTCTCATTGATACTTCTCTATTTCCCTCTCTCATTGAAACATCTCTATTTCCCTCTCTCATTGAAACTTCTCTATTTGCCTCTCTCATTGAAACATCTCTATTTCCCTCTCTCATTGAAACATCTCTATTTGCCTCTCTCATTGAAACTTCTCTATTTGCCTCTCTCATTGAAACTTCTCTGTTTGCCTCTCTCATTGAAACTTCTCTGTTTCCCTCTCTCATTGAAACATCTCTATTTCCCTCTCTCATTGAAACTTCTCTATTTGCCTCTCTCATTGAAACTTCTCTATTTGCCTCTCTCATTGAAACTTCTCTATTTGCCTCTCTCATTGAAACTTCTCTGTTTCCCTCTCTCATTGAAACTTCTCTATTTGCCTCTCTCATTGAAACTTCTCTATTTGCCTCTCTCATTGAAACTTCTCTATTTGCCTCTCTCATTGAAACTTCTCTATTTGCCTCTCTCATTGAAACTTCTCTGTTTGCCTCTCTCATTGAAACTTCTCTATTTGCCTCTCTCATTGAAACTTCTCTATTTGCCTCTCTCATTGAAACTTCTCTATTTGCCTCTCTCATTGAAACTTCTCTGTTTCCCTCTCTCATTGAAACTTCTCTATTTGCCTCTCTCATTGAAACTTCTCTATTTGCCTCTCTCATTGAAACTTCTCTATTTCCCGAGTGCAACTGCGCTGTTTTTCCACTCTTTGTATAGCTACTCTGTTTCTCACTCCTAGTGTAATTTATGTGTCCCCACTCTCAACTTCTCTGTCTCCCACTCTCAACTTCTCTGTCTCCCACTCTCAACTTCTCTGTCTCCCACTCTCAACTTCTCTGTCTCCCACTCTCAACTTCTCTGTCTCCCACTCTCAACTTCTCTGTCTCCCACTCTCAACTTATCTGTCTCCCACTCTCAACTTATCTGTCTCCCACTCTCAACTTATCTGTCTCCCACTCTCAACTTCTCTGTCTCCCACACTCAACTTCTCTGTCTCCCACACTCAACTTCTCTGTCTCCCACTCTCAACTTCTCTGTCTCCCACTTTCAACTTCTCTGTCTCCCACACTCTCCCACTCTCAACTTCTCTGTCTCCCACACTCTCCCACTCTCAACTTCTTTGTCTCCCACACTCTCCCACACTCAACTTCTCTGTCTCCCACTCTCAACTTCTCTGTCTCCCACACTCAACTTCTCTGTCTCCCACTCTCTCCCACTCTCAACTTCTCTGTCTCCCACTCTCAACTTCTCTGTCTCCCACTCTCAATTTCTCTACCCCCACACCCCCCGGTGTTTCAGGACGGTCATCTCCGAACAGGTGACCACATTCTGCAGATCGGTGACATCAACGTCAGAGGGATGAGTTCCGAGCAGGTGGCCCTGGTTCTGCGCCAGTCCGGCCCTCACGTGCGGTTGGTGGTGGCGCGGCCTATTCTGGAGGCTCCACTTTTTCAGGTAACAGATTCTTCTGCATTGATTTCGTCAGCTGTAAACTATTGGTCAGTCCACGTCTGCACTTCGGTCTTGATCCAGAACTTGAGTGGTGCGTGCATATTCGTTTTACAGATCTGGTTTATCTGTATACAGGCTGTTGGTTCCTCGCTTCCCAGGCAGATGCATTCCACAAGGTCGACTTTTGAGACATGCATGCTAAGGGGCAGTGAGTCTATTATCCCCCGCCCCGCCCCCAACAATGGGGCCCCAGAACCCCCACGGGCGTGGAAAGGAATTTCACGGGCAGCGTGGCTACTGGCGAATGTGGTAGTTATGCCATGTTATGGTGATGATGATGATGATGATGATGATGATGATGATGATGATGATGATGATGATGATGATGATGATGATGATGATGATGATGATGATGATGATGATGATGATGATGATGATGATGATGATGATGATGATGATGATGATGATGATGATGATGATGATGACGACGACGACGACGACGACGACGACGAGGATGATGATGACGACGACGACGATGATGATGGCTATGATGGTAATGAAAATGGTGATGATGGTGATAATGATGATGGTGACAATAATGTTGATGACAATGATGTTGATGAGATGGTGATGATGATAATGGCGATAATGATAATGATGGTGACGACGATGATGATGATGATGATTATGATGACGACGACGATGATGATGATGGTGATGATGACGATGATTCTGATGATGATAGTGACGATGATGAAAATGGTGATGATGATGATGATGATGATGATCATGGTGATGATGACGACGATGATGGTGACGACGATGATAATGATAATGGTAATGATGATGATGGTTGACAGCTTGTTAAAAAATTTAACATAATATGTTTTGTAGTTCTACATTTTACCACACGTATTTATTTCGCATGTGTCAAGCATGTCCTACTGGCCTCCTCAGATCCCTCATGCCCCGATCATCCCGACCCATCAGCTGGAGCAGCACATGGAGCACTTCAACGCCGTCATGGCCATGGAGCTGGGGGAGCATGAGCTCCAGATGCACAACCTTCACCTGCAGCATCAGCTCCAGCAGTACCAGCTACAACAACATTCCTTGCTCGGCGCGGTTCAGGTCCACCCTGTAAGTCTACTCACCTGGCAGGTGGGGTGAGTTGGAGGTGGGGTGAGTTGGGGTGGGGTGGGTGGGGTGGGGTGGGGTGAGTTTGGGGTG